AGAGACTTTGAAAATCTGAAGCTAGACATAGCCAATGCACTTATTACTCCAAGAGATGAACAAGAACTGTCGTGGTGGAAACAGATGCTTCAGATGTAGCTCTGAAGTCAAAATAATAGACCGATAGCTTTTTTCTCCAGGACTAAATAGATCTGAGAAATTATATCCCGCAGTTGAAAAGAAGCCGCTGCAATCTTTGAAGCCCTAAGAAAATGGAAACCATTCCTCATTGGGAGAGAATTCAAACTGCATACTGATCAGCAAGCTCTTTCGTTTGTGTTTGATAGGAGGCATACAAGCCGAATAAAAAATGACAAAGTAATGAGATGGCGCCTTGAACTTGCACCTTACCAGTACGACATTGTTTATCGCCCTGGAAAAGATCATGAAAAGGCAGATGCTTTGTCACGAGTGTGTTCGGTACGCTCAGATAGTGCAAACTTCTTGAACTCCACAAATCCCTGTGTCATCCAGGGATTACCAGATTGTTTCATTGGATAAAGAGTAAAAACATAAACTAATCTCTCGACGATGTCAAAAGAATGACATCTGCGTGCCAAACACGTGCTGAAATAAAGCCAAGATTCCATCGTTTTCAAGGGAAACTGATAAAGGCTACGACTCCTTTTGAAAGACTGAACATTGATTTCAAAGGTCCTCTGCCATCAAAGACCAGGAATCGATACCTTTTCACAATGGTGGATGAGTACTCGCGATTTGTTTTCGCATATTCTTGTAAAGATATGAGTTCTACGACAGTAATTGCTTGTTTTTTAGATCTATTTTCAATGTTTGGGGCTCCTGTCTTCGTGCACTCTGATCGAGGAGCTTCATTTATGTCACGTGAGCTGACAGATTTTCCACACAACTACGGAGTGGCAACTAGTCGCATGACTCCATACAACCCAAGAGGAAATTCCCAGATTGAAAGATTTAATGGAACTATATGGAGAACCATTCTTCTTGCACTGAAAACTCATAACCTGCCAGTTACCTCATGGGAAGATGTGCTGAAAGAGGCACTTAACTCTGTCAGATCCCTATTGTGTACTGCGACTAAAATCTCTCATTGTACACCTCATGAGAGATTTTTCAAACATAGTCGCAGAACCACAAACAGAGAATCCCTACCTTCATGGTTGTCTAGCCCTGGTCCAGTATTGAAGAAATACGTCCGTACAAGTAAATACGATGACCTTGTGCTAATCCAACATCATCTGGAGCTCCAGCTGAAGAGATGACCTTGGATAGGATTCGTCCAAGGAGAAATGGCGGACCTCCTATCTTAAAGATTATGTTTGCTACACCTATTTGAAAAACTAGTGGGGGAGAATGTGGTGATCAAAAATGTTTAAAGCCTGTTTCTTAATCAGATGTTTAATTTGGTATGTTACTGTTTTCAAGTTTTTGTAACCAACAACAGTATGGCTGATTTTTATAATAAATAAAAGCCACATTTTGGTTACTCTTGTCTTTATATACAACATATTACATTTTTTTACCAAATTTCTCTATAGGGAAGTAGCTATTACCGTAGGTCTCATAGTAAGACCTAGGCCCGGGACCGATTTACTTTTTCATTTTGATGTTGCCAGAGACCAAAAACATAATTCGTTCAAATTTTTATACATGTATATATATATATATATATCTATATTAATAAGCATAATAATAAAAACCATAGTACCCTGAAATTCATTTTTTATTTAAACTGATACGTATTTCGGCACTAAGGCCATGATCACAGTATGAGTGTTATGAAAGTATGTAAACAATTAAAATAAATAAATAGCTAATAACATATGTTTGAATTCATAGTAAAACTAGTGTACCTGTTGCTCGAATTCGAGCAATTGCAAAGCATTACAGGCGACTCAAAGATTATGGAAATACTCACGATCTACACAACAGTTAGATATCATCAAAATCATTTGTAAATATCTTATCTTTTTTCAAAAAGCTGATCTTGTTTTTTTAGTGTTTTTATTGTAAAAAAACATTATTTCTATTAGCGAATTTCCCATATAGGGAATAAGCTATTACCGTAGTACTCATGGTAAGACCTGGACCCGGGACCAATTTTTTTTTTCGTTTTGAGGTCCCTAGAGGCCAAAAACACCATCCGTTCAAATTCATATATATATATATATATATTTATATATATATATATATATATATGTGTCCGTTAGCGCGATAACTCAAGCAAAAATTATCCGATTTTGATGAAATTTGGTACAAACGTGTAAACCTACGTTTATTCGAACGAGTTCGCGAACCAGCATGATCGGACCATGGGAACGGGGGTTTATGGGGGCTTTTATGGGGTAAAAATGGGTTTTTCCAATTTTTGACCCAAAAAACATAAAATTTTGTAATTTCTTTCCAAACTATTTTGTAGAGCTTAAAAAAACAAATAATTTAGTATATTGAAGCGTTGTAGTGCGCCTAATGGTTACGGAGAAATTGTTAATTTAAAATTCCCATGTTATTCTTATGGAGAATAAGTAAACTGTTGTAGTTTGCTTGTTTATTAACAGATTTTGCCCAAATTTGGAAAATGTTTTAATTTCTTACTAACTATTAACATTTTACATTAATAAAAATACTTTTACCCTCCCTGTTGCAGCAAACCTAAGTATGTGTTAAACTGATTCTATTTAAATAGGGAATAAATGTGATATTTTTAAGGAGACATTTTAGTGTAAATCCAATCAGGCAAATGGAAATTCGCTTAGTCTGCAGGTTTGCTGCGGCAGGGGTATTTTTTCTACTTGGTTGTGTTCTATGACTTTTTCTATGTTTCCATTGTTTGGAAATCGGTTATTTCAATGATTGCTCATGAAATGTAGCACAGTGTTAATTCAGTTTTATTTTTAGCCTATATCAAATTGTCCAGGATTTCTCGCTCTTTTCCATTGTAATAATTACACCAACCCAAGTTTCGTCTACGGATGCAATATGCCAAAGAATATCACCTACGTACAATCTCCAAGAAGTGGTAAAAACGGCAGAAATCAACCAATACAATAGATATAAGTTAACTCCATAAGAAATCATTTCAAAAATTACTGTGATATTATTAGGATTTTCCACTGATTTGGTAATAGAACATTATATTGCAAAACATGACACGATGCAGAAGAAAATCAATTTTAAAATCAGAAAAATCCATTGCAAATACTGTACTTCATTTTGACAAATTCAATAAATCATAATTTAAATACTAACATCTGTTGCATTAGAAAGTAGTGTAAAATTATGCATATGGCGGTAATGTAAACAAATCTGAAGAGGCAACTTTAAAGGCTTCTGGGGCAGAGCCCCAAGGATATTTACCTTGTTTTTTTTTTTGTTTGATGGCTCATCTACAGACTAAGACCTTTCTTTAGAGACCCATACCAAGTTTCTACACCCAGCCGTTCTCTGATATTAGCTGTGACAAAATCCCGTTTTTCCTCCATAAGAATAACATGGGATGGGAATTTAAAGGCCACTGGGGCAGAGCCCCAAGGGAATTTACCACGTTTCTCTTTTGATGGCTCATCTACAGACCAAGACCTTTCTTTGGACACCTCTACCGAGTTTATACGCCCAGCCGTTCTCTCAAAATAGCTGTGACAAAGAAAAACAGTTTCAAATTAATATATAGATTTTGATTATTTGATTAATTTTGGTGTATTTTTTAACATGTAGATGTGTAAGATTCTTCTCTGATTTGTCTGATTTTTTCATGAATTGGATTTTGTTTTTGTTTTTGCATTATATTGAGAATTTGGTCGCCGTGTTCTTTTGAATGTAGGTATATTTGTAATTCTTCTTTTATATCCATTTTTTCTCCCTTTTTCTCAAAATCATACTGTGATCATGGCCTTAGTGCCAAAATACGTATCAGTTTAAATAAAAAATGACTTTCAGGGTACTCTGCTTTTTATTATTTTGCTTATTCATTGAAAAAGTAACCCTAAAAAGTGAACAGAACTATAAAAAAAAATATATATCTATATATATATAGGCCTATCTACATATATATATGTGTGTGTGTGTGTGTGTGTGTGTGTCCGTCCGGACGATAACCTAAGTAATTTTTGTCCGATTTTGATACAATTTGGTTTGAAGGTGTAAGGCGGGATAAACTTGAATGAGTTCGCGAACCAGCATGATCGGACCATGGGAACGGGGTTTAACGGGGGGTTTTATGGGTTAAAAATGGGGTTTTCTAATTTTTTACCCTTATAACACCAAATTTATTTTTTTTCTCCAGACCTTTTTAAAGAGCTTAAAACAAATAATTTAGTATATCAAAGTGTTTTTGTACAGTGAATGGTTACGGGGAAAATTAAAAAAAAAATTGGTAATTTAAAATTCCCATGTTATTCTTATGGAGAATATTGTAAAATGTTGTAGTTGGCTTGTTTATGCATATATTTTGATCAAACTTGGCGGATATATTTCATACTAAGCTATTGATATTTTAATAAAAAAGCACACTTTATTAGTTTCCCTGTAGCAGCTAACCTAGGCACTCGTCAAACATAAATGTTAATTTAATAGATTAATTGAAAATCAATCCAGGAAAATGGTAATTCGCTTAGTCGGCAGGTTTGCTGCAGTGGGGGTATTTTATCCTTCAGTGAATAATTCAATAATCTTCTTAGTTAATCACATTGTTTTTTGTTCATTTTTCATCTTTGGGAGTCTAAGTCACATTTGGTTAGGCAGTGTCACAATTGCATCCATTGAATCGCTGTGGTTTCACTTCCCCAGCTTGCCTATGCAGATTATGTGTACTACTCCATCTATTACTGAGGGCCACTACAACGCACTGCTATTTCTTCTGTACCCAGGCTAAGTTGTCTGTCTGTTATTGACATTAACACGTCGAAAAATTCAAACGGCCATGAATATAATTTAATGTTTGAGTCGACCCATATAGTAATTGGCCAAGAAGTTTAGTTTTTACTGATGTTGTTGTTGTATTGTATGTTTTGATTTGACCACAGAACGCCCTGTTTGGGCAGGGAGTGTACTTCTCCAGTGAGCTGCTGGTGTGTCTGCCCTACAGCAGGACAGGGTTGTTATGGAAGCACAGCTGTCTAGGGTCTGCTTGCAGCGTCGTTGCTATGTGTCAAATCATTGACCACCCAACCATTCTTTGCCAGAACGAGCAAGGTAATCTGTTAGTTGGTTAAAACTAGTTGTTTCCAGTAAAGTACCTACAAGAAGTTTTGACCAAACTACCATCACTTGGCAGCACATCAGACTACTATCAATGACAATTATTTTGTGATTTGTATCCTGATGCTGCAACTTCTATTTTCCAGAATAGTGTTAGTTCTTATTCTTGTACTGTAGCCCTTGTTCAGATTTAGCTTTGCTCCAAAGGTTTAATACACTGGCCAAAGACAAGTAAATGACTCTGAGCCAAGGTAAAAATAGTCTCTTTTATATAAAAAACAACTTTTGTTGATTTACTTGGCCAAATATAATATCATGTAATTTCAATAACTATTTTTTTATCTTTCTTAAATTGTTTAGCTAGTGAAGAGAACAAGTCACGGGCTAGAGCACAGGACAGCCTAGCTGGGGAGGTTCCTCACAAGCTGTACGTGGTGCCTAACAGTGACCTAATACAAGTGAGGTACTTGCTGGTGTACACAGAAAAGTCCAACTCCTCCCCCAGCCAAAGGTAGGTTGTTAGAGATGAATTGTTCAGGTAGTGTATAGAACAAGTCACAGTCTAGAGCACAGGATAGCCTAGCTGGGGAGGTTCCTCACAAGCTGTACTTTGTGCCTAACAGTGACCTAATACAAGTGAGGTACTTGCTGGTGTACACAGAAAAGTCCAACTCCTCCCCCAGCCAAAGGTAGGTTGTTAGAGATGAATTGTTCAGGTAGTGAAGAGAACAAGTCACGGGCTAGAGCGCAGGACAGCCTAGCTGGGGAGGTTCCTCACAAGCTGTACGTTGTTCCTAACAGTGACCTAATACAAGTGAGGTACTTGCTGGTGTACACAGAAAAGTCCAACTCCTCCCCCAGCCAAAGGTAGGTTGTTAGAGATGAATTAATTGTTCAGGTAGTGAAGAGAACAAGTCACGGGCTAGAGCGCAGGACAGCCTAGCTGGGGAGGTTCCTCACAAGCTGTACGTGGTGCCTAACAGTGACCTAATACAAGTGAGGTACTTGCTGGTGTACACAGAAAAGTCCAACTCCTCCCCCAGCCAAAGGTACTTTGTTGGAGATTATTTGTGTGTTGTTAGTCAAGTTGATGAACATTTTATATGGTCGCGTCCCACAATCACGAAATATCTTCATTGTCTTACAAGATCATAGCAAAATAAAATGTTCAGCGGTCAATGTGAAATTGTGAATGTCATCTGCAGTCATGGTAAAACTGTAGCGACCAAATCAAAATCGTAAACTTCTTTCAAGGTTCCGGTGTCATCAACTTTGTCTCTCGCAATCATGCTGAAATCGTGAGTTTTAAATTGTACAATCTTCGCAGACACAGTTTTGTTATCGATATGCGTAAGTCTATTAGAACAGTGTTTGGTAGTGAAAAATAAATTTAAAGTAAACTAAGTCTAGACTCTGCAGCCTTCTGTCCTAGACTCATCAGCCACTCAAAACCCCTAGGTTTATTCCAGCAATCACTTTCTTTAATTTAGCAGTAAATATGTTGAGAGTTATGTTACAATAAAAGACATAGGCAATGCAAAATGTGAATTTTTCAACTTGTGTCCAAGAAAATATTTTTTCAGTAAGGTTTTATTTAATGAATAAAATAAAATAAATGAAAAATAAATGTTATGCAAAACTAAGGATTACTTCTATGGTTTAGCGTAAACACACTGTTTTTACCAACCAATCATAATTTTTTGCAGATTAACCCAAAGAAACTCTGGCTTGCTGTCATGGCTGGGCCGACACAAGATGGCCGCCTCGTTGGCTACGTACGCTGTCGTACTTGTGGCCGTCGGACTTTCTAGGAGTCCCACCTTTCTAAGACTATGGCAAGACATTTGTCGAACAATCGGTATTCGATAATCATAAGCGTCGCTTTATATCCATTCCAAATTTACTTGTATATCCAATATTTGTGATAGTAGTTTTAGTTGAAATTCTTTGTTATTTGTATTACACAATTTTTTTTATGTTTATGTTCCTTATCGCTTTATTGAGTTTTGGAAAGATAGAAATCGATATACCAATTAAGATGCTAGGAATAAAAATTAAAATATCAAATAGTAACTTTTAGAAAAGCTGAGCATAATGTTTACTGATACATCTATGTTGATTGGCTCAATATGAGGTGATCATAATAGATCGCAATAGATCATATTGCTAGCTACTTTTATCATCCAAAATTGGGATCCTATCTGTTCCACCTCTAAGGTTTGGTAAAGACTGTCTAAGTTAAGGTTTAACAGGGTATCTACTTTACTGTCATGCTAAAACAGGCCAGTTATGATCTTAGACAAACTGTTTCAATTAATGTGATCTATAGAAACCGTGACCCAAAAATAAAACTACCTTTCCTTTATTAAAAAAAACCACAATCTTTGCCTAGAGCCATTACCCAAACTCAACTTTTTACTGCAGAATTATGCTCTGCAGTTGGAATCATTAAAACTTAATATCAAATTCTTTGTCAGAGACATAATCTTTTGTCTATGGTTTATATATTTTTTACATGTATGGTATATAATAAAAATACAAGTGCGTGTAAATTATTTTTATAACATTTACAATATTTTATAATTTTGTACATATTTTTTTGTGACCCAGTGATAATCTTACATTAATGTGCATTACTAACTACTTTAATGCTAAAGTAACAAAATGAAAGTAAAGTAAAATGTAAAACATACTCCTTTATACATTTTTATTTTAAAGGGAAACCAATTTCCTGATATTGAGTTTTCTCTTCAACGTACTCTGGAGAAGTCCTATCTCAGGACGAAATATCAGTGTTATGTTTTGTGTTCACCCCTGGTCTCTATAATTTTCTCAGGTAATTTAGCTGAACTATATTACTTTTCCAAAAATAGCTTTATATAGGCTATATTTTTTAATTCTCATGTATCAAATACAATGTTTATGCCTGGTTAACTTATTGTGTTGATAGCCTACTTTACTATTTTTAGAATTTGTTTCTTTTTTTCAATTATAACTAAGTAGAATATTACATTTATAAGCTACTGCTTGTACTCTAGTACTACAACAAAATAGTTTATTGCTCACTTCAACTTTACCATAACACGAGAGAGAATCATTTCGCCAACATCAACATGATCAAATGTGATGTGGCCTTGACAAACATTAAAACTAGACAGATTTCACACTACCATTAAATATATATTTGTAAAAGTTAATAGTGAAACCAAAGACGTGATCTCAAAAAGCAAATAAGTGAAAAAAACATGTAGATGGAAGTTTGAATAACTAAGATACATTTATATATTATTACGTGAATAATTATTATCTTTTATCAGTAGATTATTGTTTAGTAAATAATAGCATTAGATGTATTAAGGGATTATTGAAATATACTGTATAGTTGACTAGTATGAAAGACATTTGGTGCCTCATATAGGCAGTAAAATAATGATTGATTATTGTTTAGTTTTGTTGTAAATATAATGAAATTTAAAACTATTATTTTCAATTCAGAATCATTTTACCTCTCTCCTTTTAAAATTACTTGAATAAGATGTAGGATTGTATGCTTGGGTTTTTGGTAGAAATAAAATCTTTAAGATTCACTATATGAACATATAAATGTCCTAACTAAAGTTCAAATTTTGATTTTAATATCCTTCAGCCATCTAATGAACACATAACTAACATACCTAGTGGTGGTATTTATGCCTACATAATTTGCCACAGAGCTTGTTTTTTACGTAATAATTGTAATGAAAATACAACTTTGAGACCTTTAGAAATCCAATTACCTTGATGACAAATAAGATTTGTTTAGTGTAGATTTAAGAATAGCAGTAATTTCTGAAATCATAACCCAACTTTTTCAAAACTAATTCAACCGCTTACTAAGACAGCAAAGTACATTAAGGCAAGCACAAAACCTGAATATAAATGCCGGGTGAAAATAAAATTAAGTTAATTAACTTGTATTGTAGTGTAGTTTTGCTCCTGACTATGATTAGCAGTTTTTTAGCTAGGATTACTTATTTAAAGCTCAATGGTCAAGGATAGGCCCCATTGTTACTATGCCAGTGATGCAAATACCTCTAACCTCAACACCTCTAACATTCAACACAACCGACTTCATACAATAATTGCATGTATATACAACTGTCCATTTTGAATTAAATGTAGCTTTTTTAGGCCAGCTTTAATCATTTTCTTTAAGTCCTAGGAATTGTAAATCACTAAATTATGCATTCTCATTTCCATGGTATTGTTGAATCAAACTCAGTTCATATAGTTCAAGAACCAGCCATACAGACTGAATGTCTATTCAGTTTCTTTAAGCCAATGGTTCCACAGACAATATACAGGGATTATTAAAACACTTTGTAGTAAAACACACAATATTTAATTTACTAATAAATACTGTTCACACTAATAGTTATGCTAATTTACACTAAATCACAATGTTCGTTAAAATTATGAGTCTTTTGACAGCAGCATCTCGTAGAAAACTACTTAGAAGGCAGCTGTGGGGTCTTTGTACAATGTTCTGAAACAAATTTTGATAGTTGATTATATGGGAAAAACTGATATCTTTGTATACTACAGTTTATAAGTTGTCCTTTTTATACCTTTGAGCCACAGGGGTTATTCATTAATTTTATTTAATTATGCCCATTTTTTTCAAATTTTCCCCACCTTAAAAAGCCAAAAGTCCAAATTTTAATAGACAAACACCCAAATACGAGTAAGTACTGTTTTATAAAATACAATACCACCTAGATCAAATAGTTATGCTGCCCTATGAACTTCTAATTTCCCAAGAATGTTGATTTTTATACACTCCTAAATCAGATTCCAACACTGTTCAAACCCCCTCGCACTCCTTCCACCCTCAGATTACTACAACACTCACGGAGGAAGATCCTAAGACAAGACCCTAAGTCTTGTGCTTGCCGCTCAGGCTCTTCCTTGCTTGTCACAATTACATTGCCCTAGCGCTTACATATGCGCACACACAACAGACGACGAGCGCAAGGTCATCTAAAAGCAAGTTTCCTCTGTACCTGTCTTCTCTGTGGTTACACAAGTTTGAGGTTATATCAGTGGTACCAACCTCTGAGCAGCGAGTGCAGCTGTTGTTCAGTACTGCAGTTCCTTCGTACCTTACTTCTCTGGGGTTACACTAATGGTTAAAAGACAAAGCAAGTTTGAGGTTATACCAGTGCTACCAACCTCTGAGCAGCAAGTGCAGCTGTTGTTCAGTACTGCAGTGTAGGAACCTGACGGGTTGCATCACCTGAAAAACTTCAACTACGCTGGGCTTGAGGTTGTAGAACAATAGAGGCTGGTTGCGGTAGACAAAGTCATCTATCAGAGACTTCACCCCCTGAAAAACACAACATGAAACAAATGAAAATAATCCTAAACACTTTCCAACATAATTAGTGAAGAAAAAAATTGTCACCATGTTTTGGGACCTACAATTTGATCCAGCCTCTGGTGAGAGAGTACACCAACCCAGCCAAAGATGCATAATTACAAAAGAAAACCCACACAGAGAACTGGAGAACTGCATAGTAGTCCAAACAAGAAACAAACAAATCCTCAAAGGACACCATTATGTTCATTAGGTACGGCTATCGTCTAATAGTACTGATTATTATGCTAAAGGACTTTTTTTATTTCTCGTGTATTTTTAGCTGAAATTAATGAGGAATGAATTTTACATGAATGGGATGGTAGCTTTGTTACTGAAAAAGATCCGTTAGTTCTCCAGCCAGGACCATTTATTAAAACCCCTTAAAGGACAGCCAGGTTCAGTTTTGAAACATCAAAAAGATGACTTTTATTGGGATTTAAGAAATCATCTTCTGATTACCAGGCAAACACTATAACCAATCAGGAACCCAGCTATGTGTTTTGTGATACAAAAGTAGACACAACATTGGGCTTTCTTATACAGTAGGTACAGTGAGGTTAGGTTTACTCACCCTGGCTGCAGTGAAGTCAACACCCTGTACATGTCGACTGTCTATGACCACGGGAATACTGCTTGAGCCTTGCTTGACTCCTATCTTGCGCACAGTGCTGCGGACGTACTCGACTGAAGGAAAGACGAGACTGCGGTCTGGCGTAATCATCAGGTATTCACATCCCCAGTCAGTCTAGAGAAGAAACATACCGGCAAACCTTGTTATAACAAACATATTGTATGAGGAGCGGACTCAAAAGTCTCGGCAAGTCAACCGAAGCTTGTTGAGCATATTAAAATACAAGGCCAGTACTTGAGCTAACCTCAAACTGTGGTTTTATCAATTGGCAGTGTGTCTACTACACTTTAAAACCCTAAATATCCTGGAAATTTCCCTGATATTTCTATTTTGATTTTTAAATAATTGAACTGTAGTATTGTCTGAGGTGTTTTTACAGAACTGAGATTTTCTTTACCTTAAGCCTCTCCACGTTAACTGAAGGTCTAGCGGATGCGTACAGAAGGAAGATTACATTGATGGAAATCCCAATGACAATCCCCAGCTCTAACCTGATGAGTAGACAACTTAAGAATGTTGCGGCTGCTGGGATCAAGTCCATTTCTGAAACAAACCAGTATATGAGCTAACAAGATTTACAGCTACTAGATAGATTATTTACAAATCTACTCCTTAAAAACACTGGAATTTTGTATGAAATAATTACTCACCGGGTCCCGAAGAACCACAGAGAAGTAAGGTACAGAGGACACATTCAATGGTACACTTAAGTGGTGTCTAGCACTAGTCGCTGGTGTCTAAGGCAAAGTTCAACACCCTCCCCTCGCCTTCTTGTAGGCTACTACAACCCTCACAGTGTAGGAAGATCCTGTGCCCTTTGGAATAGGAATTTCCGCACAATGATCGCCACTTGGGCTCTTCCTTGCTTGTCACAAGTATATTTCCGGCAAAACATACCAGAGCTGAAAGGGCACGGTCGTTCCATAAGCGTGTTTTCTCTATAAAAGAACTAATAGTGATACTTGCCCATTGATCCCATCAACTTGTTTCATTTTTTGACATGTTAAAATTATAGTTCAATTTGTTGTTTCATTGTTAATCATAATTTTAGCATGTAATTAAAATTTACTTGCTTTTAGCATTATGTATAAGTTAATTCATTTCTTAACACTGATTAGATCCGCACATTTTCATGTGAGCAACTATTGCAAAAATGGAGATTACATTGTAAACAAATATAGACTTGAGAGTTCTATAGAAATGTTTCTAGATTAAATATTTATAGTTTTACTCACTGTTAGTCCTCCAAATGGGTTTGATTACATGGAACTCCACCATGAAGACGACAGCTGCGATGATTACAGCAGCCAGGGAGGCTTTGGGGATGTAGTGGAAATACGGGGTGAAGAAATACAGGGACAGCAGTACCAAGATACCTGAAACGCAGTCATTATGTAGTGATCTAATTATGCCTGTTATTATCATGTTTTCCTCTTCATAAACATTCAAATTCAATTTATTAGCTTAAAAATTGTTTGTAGACACACAGACACTATGCCTGACTTGAGGTGGGATGAAGAAATCACTCATCTTGTTAACTTTTACCTAAAATGTTCACCTTTTATTATACATTGACCTCTCCACTACCCAACCCAGCTCTCCCACAAACTGATCCACTCCTTATGATTTTCACACCAAACCTGACCAAGAAGAATTTGAAACCCTTGTTGAAGCCCTTGAGAGACAGATTTCATGATATTTAATGATGGCTGTGTTGGAACTATTTTGTAATCTAAAGGCCCTTTTGATCTAAAAGCCATTCATTGTTGACGAGGTCTATTGTAACTTTATGGTTTAACGACCAATAAAGATTTATGACACATTAGACCGCTTGACCATTGACCAGACTTAATGGTCTACTGCAGCAAAAACGCTGGTCAACCAAAAGCCCAAGACTAGTTCCGAACTTGACTCCCAGGTAGCAACACACGTCATCAACAGATTTCAGCCATTTTTGTCAGGTTTTTTGTAATAGAAAATGTGCTTATGTAAGCATTGAGTTTAGTCATAGACTAACCAACGCAAGTGACTTCTCATCCCATTGTAAAATTTGAAGCTCGGGTTTTTTACGTCTAATTTATGTTTGTGACACTGGGCGCTGGTGTCAACAAAATTTTGTTTCTTTTATGCCTTGAAAATTATATCTCCAATTTGATCACAATTATTTACTAACCTGTGTATATTCCGCCAAACGTAGTCCTCACACCGCTAGCATTGTTGACAGCTCCTCGAGACAGGGCGCCTGACACGGGCATTGAGCCTACAAAGGATGACACCAAGTTGCACATACCTAGCGCCAACATCTCCTGTGTGGCGTCTATACTCTTTCCTGCCGCTGTCGACAGATAATTATGTAAACTAACTTGTTAAGCCTACTAAATCTATTAGATATTAAAACCTTGTATGATGACAATTTTAAATTTCTGTAGATAGCAGTTATATC